ATTTCGGCCAAACATGGAATCTGAGCATCCCAGCAAAGCCCGAAAGATCAGATCATGCACGCTTGCTTCCACCCATATGATCCCAATGACTTGCCATGCTGTGGCATTCTTGAAAGTGTATCTCGTCAGAGGGGGTTGGTCATTCTCGCATGGGATGAGTGGCTTTGCATCCCGCATCCGGCATCCTCATCTCAGCATGCTTGCTTGACCCCCGCCCCGACTTACGCAAAACATTGCCGGAGACCCAGACCCTAATCAAACCGACAGGGCATTTGCAAAGATGCCCAACTTTGGGTTCAAATTGCGGGGTCGTTGCATTCCTTGTTGCTGCCCGTGCTAAAACCAGATTTATAGATCCATCAGCCCAAAGATTTTTGCTTTGGCCCCAGACTGACCAAGCTGGTCTTTGCCCAGCTGACTCCAAAGTTGAGCGCCGGCCTCAGTCCAATTTCTTGCCATGTGCGGGTATTCGTTTTGCACTCTTTTAAGCGCCGCGCATGCATGTTGCATGTTTGTGTGGCTCGTTGCAGGCAAGCATGCATTACAGTAGGTGCTGTAGCGTTCACAGCATACCCCGTTTCGGTGGTGAATGTTTCGAAAGCGAGTGCAGCCCGCACGGTGGAAGAGGGGGGGGGGGGCGGGGCGGCCCAAAAATTTGATACTGGGGCCTTGGAGCAGCAGCCACTGCCAGAGGTTCGTGCACACAAAACAACACAAAATACCGGGAGATTTTCAGGTCCTGAAAATTGGCCGAATTCGGCGAACTTGAACTATTACGCAGAGCCTCGGCACACCATGTTCAGCAGACTTCGAAATCTGGCAGGTTACTTGTTAGTTGACGTGTTTGTGGAGAAGTTGCGTGCGTGTGAGGTGATTAGAGGCTTCCACGGATGCAACCTAGTTGACATGAGGGTGTTTTCAACGTTCATGAGCTTTCTGTTAAAACCCCAAACCCTCAGCCTCACTAGTTTTCCTCGTTTGCAATCTGAGGATGGCACGCAGTCGGTGGGGTGGCATTCTGATGACGAAAACCTTTTCCAAGGTAAAGTCCAGGACTCGTTGCATTCGGCTTAGGAGGCGTCAGGGTCAGGCTGGGATGTTTGAGGCGCCCTTCTGTATGCAACTTTTTGGAACCACCTCATCAAGGCTCAACGGGCCAGGGCGAGGGTTCATTTTTGAGGTTGGCGTTATGGTTTTTTAGTTTGCATTGATTTTTCACCCACAGTGCTGTTTGCTGTGCATATGAACATTAGATTCAGTTACGGGCTTTGGCAGTGCAACGGTTTGGTATACATCGTGTTGCCACGCAGATATGTGCCACGTCTGCCCTTGACTTGTTAGCCCTGCATGTCCAATAACAACCTCACGACACAGCCGTCCAATATCCAACGCATGTCTCCCCAACCGGTACCTTTGAAGTGCAACTCTGCTTTATGTTGGAGATAGAAATCCCCCCCACCCGCACCCCTTTAATATTAAATACTTCCTCTTGTGGTATGTTATGGTACATTGGGAGTATTTAGCATTTGTGGGGCTAGGGGGGTTTAATGTTAGGAGAAGAGGATTACAAACCGTAGAGCCCCTGCGAGGATTGCCCCATTGTGTCGCTATCCCTGGGTGGCCGCCGCGAATTCTGGACAGGGTTCTGGATGAATACCATAAGTTTGCAACTTGGGGCGTTCAATACGCCACATAGTTATGTCTCCACCCACTTTGTCGGTAACCCCGAAACAGGTCCTACATATTTGGGAAGTTGCGCCGTTTCAAGCGTCTTCACAACATTGGCTAGCATGTGGTTGTTAAATTTGGTTGTAGCAGGTCACTTGGTTGGCTCTTTGAAAACGAATACACCGATCACTTGATGGTTAGGTGCTAATGTGGAACTGGACATGTTGTCCGAATTTGTTTCTAGATTGCGGAGTTGCTTTGGCGTAGAGATTTTACGGCGTAGATCCTAAACCCTAAGTTTTGACCACCAAGCCGTATTGAAGGTTGCTGCAATGGCAAAATTACTCTACCATGGCAAGGCAAAACCATAAACTATGTCCATATGAATTATCAAAAAGCAAATGCTCGGAACTCTGGGAGGAAAAAAGCATGCATGGTCTTGGACTTCGTACTCTGGTTCTTCTTGGCACAACAAAAAGCATGAGCATCTTTGTGCAACAGACATGACACTTTCGAAGTTCCAAGCGTGGCACCTGGAGCATTCCGACCTGCTCGAGCGTGGCGTAAACAAGACTGTTGATGTTTCGGCACTTGTGTTGCATTTTGCATAGGCGAGCCATGTGTTTTACAAAAGTCATATTCAGTCCATTGCCGTTGTGCAAGGATTGCGCTGAAGACTGAAGGCTCGGAGCCCTTGCAGGACAGATTTGGATGATATTAGCTGTACCGATGTTCGTTGTTGGGGCCACATACCAGCGTTTTCAATGCCTCCCACCTTTATGGGTTTGAATTCCCGTTGTGCCGATGATGTTGATGGAGGAGTGTGGTTTCCGACAGTATATCGTTTTTGGATTGCGGTTAGGGTTTGCTGGCATTTTTGGGATTGTGTTGTTGCATTGCAAACAAATCACGTATATTAGATTTCTGGGGCCCAAGGCAAGTGCGTGGCCCCCAACGCAAAGGACCAGTGCCGCACATTTTCAACACGGATCATCGAGGCACAATGGAGCTTCAATGTATGTCAGCACACCACGCCCATTGCATAGTCCCAGACGGTAGCACCACAGTTGTAGAGGCCGTTATGCAACAACCCTGCAAGTCCCAGGATGGAGACAGTTGACGCTGAACTTCAACATTCTTGAAAACTGTGCAGTTGTAACTAGGGCGTGCTTCCATACTTCCACCCGTAAGCGGAATCCTGGATCATGGCGAGTATTGTTACCCGGACATGTTTTGGGATGAGATTGCGACGGTGTGCGTATTATTGGGTTCCACAAGCCTTACCCACAGCCCAATTCAGGAGAGCATCGTCGAAGTAGATTTGCGCCACGGCGATCTTCTGAGCATGGTGCCTGCCCGAGCATGCCAGAATCAGGGTCGAGCGATCGGGATGTGGGCAAGAATTGGAGTTGTGTGAACAAGGAATAGATGGGGTGAACACAGTTGATTTTTTGCAGTTTGGGATTGCGGAGCTTGTGATGGGGGGTTTTGCGAGTCATGATTTATCACTTTTCCAGGACAAGATTCCTTCCTATCAAGCGGCAAGCGCCAGTAGCAAACCGCAGATGCTGCCAGAACCATGAGCGTTGGTTCATTCCGAGACCCAGTTCCCAATCGAATTGTTCAAGCAATCAAGAGGTGTAGCCCAAAACCCTGAAGTGAATTTTTCCGCAGTGGTACAACAAATAGAATACGCTCATTTATGCCGAATGAATAATAGCATCCTCATCATCGCACGTGCCAAGATCACTTGCGTGTTACTTCCATTTTCATTGTTTTGCTGCGACTCCATTTTATTTGCCAGTATCCCCATATAACCCCAATATAACCCTAATATTACCCCAGTGGGTACCCATATCCCTCCTAAACCCTGAACGCCTTAGGAAGGCTTGATGCAAAAGCACACGTTGCATTTCCTCACGCGGGAGCCGCGGCAGTGCCTTGGCATGGCATGGTGGGTATATATTGGGTAATATTGGGACAATAATGGGAAAGAAAATGGAAACTATAGGGATTATATAAGCTTTTATAGGGTTTAGGGCCCCAATAATGGAGAATCAAATGGAAAATGAAATGGAAACTGGGATTATACTGGGGTTATATTGGGGTTGTAGGTTTTGGATGTTAGCGGGGTTGTGGACTATACAGGGTTCATGGCTTCCATTCCTTTTCACAGGTTGTTCGGGCTCCGTTTGCAACAATTCCCAGCACAATGGGGCCTTTCAATGAATTTGCACGCACCATTGTGGAAATCAGTCGTGGAAGTCTCGCTGTATTGCACAGCCGTCAGATAAAGGACATGTAGCGAGTAGACTTCGGGGTGAGGATTTTTGAAACCGGGCTATTCCCATGCATGCTACAGACACGCGATTACACAGGATTGTGCGTTCAGTAGGTTGAACAATTCCTGTTGAACAGATGTATGTGATTAAATTGTCACGTGCCGCAATTCATGTCACTTTCGAGGCGAGTTGATGTTCAAGACTTTTTATTTGAAGTCATAGGAAGACGTAGGTTGTTCAAGAATGTTGAGGTGTTACAGGGCTTCCATCATTTGCGGAACTTCAGAGCGCGCGTAGCACCCGTCGGGTTGGAGTGGGAGGCCTGTCTGGGAGACCTTGCGTTTTTTAGTGCTCATGGTTTCCAGCACTGCTGCGCGCCACTTAGTTGGCTTAGTTGTGCCGTTGGGTTTAGCCTTAATGCGATTTTGTTCTACGCATTCTTCTTGTCAAATCCCACTGTGCCTTCCTTTCTGAACTTCGAAGCAAACATTTAATTGCCAGACGCCCCATTTGTGAAAACCCTTGTTTAAGGGACCCGTGCTTTGCACCGGGGTTTAGGCTAAAGAGTTTTTTGATCGTGAGATTAGTGAATAACAAAACATTATCCTCCATCATTTGAGCTTCTAGTCTCTATGGGTTTGTGATAGCAGTCATGGCTTCTGGGGCAAGGTCAAGATCCCGGTAGGTAGTGTTTCCCATTCTTGCAGTGCAAGGACAAACAAAACAAACGTCCATCAATCCCATGCGCTTCTGAGGCGGGCCGATTTTTGGCCTCCGCGGATCAACATTACTTGGCGGTGGATTGTCAATCACAAACGCGACTGTCCACTACGTGCCGCGCTGAGGGGGCTACGGTAGGTGGGAACTCTGCGTATGGCCCAGCATGGTGGCAGTTGGACGAATCTAAGTTCATTCACCAATATTCATCACATGCAAGACCGACTGCTGCTGATTGTTTGATATCTCTTGCGCCTATGGCTACAAGCCTTCATTCGCTCCCTCCAATTCTGCCTCGACCACCTGTGTCGTAGCTCTCAAACAACCCTTGCCATGGCAGTTCGCGCGCTTGCTGTTATGTTGAGTGTGGGACACCTTGTGCAGGGTGACATGTACCTCAACAGCCCACGCGGATCAAACAACAAGTTGCGTGAGCAGAGCAACAACGTTCAAAACGCCAATCGCTTGTTCGATTCGCAGAACAATGCCGCGTCCGGGTACCAGATTGGCGACGATTGCAAACCGGCATGCAAGGATGAGAACAACAACTACGACGTGACCAAAGAGGGTGCGACCAAAGGGACGATGAAATTTTACCAAGGTTCAGAACTTTATATCGATTGGTTCGTGCAGCATGGTTGCGGCGTTGGTCATCCGAATCTGCGCTGCCAGATCACCCTGCAGTACATGACCGAGTCGGACAACCCCAATCTCCGCGATGGGACCGACCAGGATTCCGCTGGCGGTGACGACGAGGATCCCACTGATGAGGAAACAGCCGAGGTGGCCAGGGGTTACCATGAGCCTTTGGAGTACTACCAGGCCTGCTACGAGCGTGAACGCAACAAGGGCCTCTTCACGTCCGACCAACAGATTGAGGAGAATGGCGGCGCCACGTCAACCAGGCAGAACCCCAACGGCAATGGCCGCCGACGCGGCAACCAGCGCCATGGCTTGGAGTGCCCAGAGGCCCAAATCAATGCGAACTGAATTCTGTAGGTCGTGTAGGTGCATTGCGAGAGCTTTGAGTTGTGAGATGTTGAATTGCATTGCAGTCACGTAATAGTTTAATCAACGCAGGAGAGGGATTATTATCCCTACTGGCACCCCACGCCTTGGCACGACATCGCCATTTTCACGGATGAGCCTCAAGAGCGTTGCGAGTACTACCGTGCAGAGTCGCAGAACGTCAAGGAGAAGGGCAGGTGCTCCATTAACCAGTACAACAACCCAGACGCTTGCACTGGCAATGGTGGGGAGCCCCGGCCCCAGAGGAGCAGGAAACGGTACAGTGAGGCAGTTTGGCTACGTGAAATCTGTGAAAGCAAAGCTAGATCCAAGTAACTAAGGTGGACTTTGGAGCCCGCCTTCAACGAACCCCCTCCTGAGTGCTGGGGTGGCATTTCCAGCCGCGACAACCACAACGGCAACGTGCGAAATGGACACCCGGACTACTACTTGTGGAAGATTCCGGAACACATCAAAGGACGAGTTGTCCTCCGCATTCGCTACAACATCACCACGGGTGACTTCACGCTGGGCTCCCTGGCGAACCCTACGGAGGAAGGCACTTCCCTCTCCGGGATCAAAGCAGACCCTTTCTTCATGGATCGCAGCTTCAACGACCCCAATCCAAACAATCGAAGGCGGGGGCATCACGCTGGCAGATTCATTATGCCATTGCATATCAGTGCCAGTGCAAGCAATTAAGATTGAAATGCGCAGAGGGTAATTTTCACAAAAGATTACTTGTTAACAAATAAAGCAGCAAAATTACACAATTCTTACACATTTCTGGTATCATCCCTGTAAAAGCCCAGATGTCTCCTCCCGAAAACAAGCAAGAAGCATCAATGCAGTTTTGATTGCAACCAGTTTGCAAAACAATCCTTGATCATTACCTAGACCCTCCTCCTACCCTCTATTAGGGCTTAAGTACCCACTATTAGGGACCATATATCCCCAATTAAGGGTACAAGGAGGGTCCTGGTACATTGAACGCAAAGATGCCTACATTACTCCGTGGCAGGCGGCGAACCTTCACGGGTCGGCCAGCAGTTCCCGTGCCTCTAACTCAGGACTTTGCGCCTTTGGAATAGATATCGGTGGAAGGCGTCAGAGTCACATTTGGATCCGGTTTGGATATAAGGCAACAACTGACAGAATGGTACTTAAAATCCATTGTTTGTATGAAACGTTTGCAAACTTGATTGTGACATAGACGTCTACGCGGCGAGGTCCGGGACAGCACACATGGGTCTACGTCGGTGGCATACACGAGGGTTGTATATGACTTCTAGAGCTGTAAATGAGTCCCGTGGGGGAGGTTCCTCATCGCTGTATTGGGCCGATTTGTTTGTGCTCGAACATACCGAGGTTTCGAAAATGTGCACTGCAAGGCCCGCAATCTATTCCCGAGACCTACGCCCCCTGAACCATGAATCCACCTTGTCGCAAGACCCATACCTTGCAAAATTGCCGCCTGCGTCTCTAAAGCTGCAGCCATAGGGAAAGGCCACATGGGGCTCTTAGACGCTGCCTCATTATACGCAAAACCCACAAGTTGCAAGGGGCTAGACTAGACCTCAATCTTTAAACCCTAAACGTATATCACCTATACCCCTCACTACCTCAAAAGGACCTCCTCACCTATACCTCGCACCACCTCAAGAGGACCTACCCTACATTTGCCTTTAAAACGGGTTCAAGGGCAACCCATATGAACTATAGTCTAAGCTCCTAGTATCCCACTTAATAAGCCTTCTAATACCCCCTTGCATAAACCCCTTGAAGGAATTAAAGAGTTTGGACTATAGCTTCGTTGCAGGATCCAGTTGCGGATTGGCTTGGTTTGGGCGAGGGCTCCACGGACACCAGTCGATTGCTCCAGTTGCAGGTGAACACCAATCAGCAACCCAGCATTTCAGGGTTTAGGGTTTATGAGGCAAGGGCCAGGGCTTTTTTTTTCATTGGTGTGGCTCAATTAGGTTTGGCCTTCTTCGGTGTGGTTCAAAGCCCCTGTTCCCTGGTCCTCTGGTTCCCTGGTAGGATTACTGCAAATTACGATATTTCTGGCTTTTGAAATGCTACGATTTTGAGAAGCCAGGAAAACTGCAAATAAAATGTTCCCGGCTCTTGAAAGGTTATGCGTATTTGCGGCTGTTGAAAGGCGAGGCAGGTTGTAAATTACAGCATTGGGAGCTATTGGAAAGTGAGAGACGTTTGAAGTTCCAGCATTTACGCTTCCTGGAAGAGTAGGCATACTGAAAATACATGAACATAAGGTGCAACCCCCACCCCCACCCGCTATTTCGTAGTGTGGGCGCGATGCAAAAAATTATCAACGGTTGCAAGAAGCTAGTGTGCTTTGATCTTCGTCGATGGTTTGCAGATGGGGGGGGGCTGCGCCCCCCCCAACCCCCCTGCGATTTGGTAATGCATGCGCGATGCCAAAAGCAACCTGTCAACAGCTGCACGAAGCCAATGTGGTTTGATCTTCATCCGTGTTATGCAGATGGAGTTATAGGCCACGCCCAAGCCCCGACGTATTTCGTAAGGCTGAAATGGTGCAAAATGCGACGTGGTCTGATGTTTTGCAAGCGGGGGAGGGCTGCCCCCGCCAGGCCCCCCCCCTCTATTTCGTAATGCAAGCACAATGCAGCAAACAATTTGTCAACGGTTGCAAGAAACTAGTGTGTGTGTGTGTGTTGATTGTCGTCAATGTTCTGGAAATGGGGTTTAAGTATACAGGCCCCCCAAAACGTTTCTCCTATTTCATAAGGCAAGCACAAGGCAAAACACAAATTATCAAAGGGTGCAAGAAGTGACATATTGTGATCTTTTTCCATGTTTTGCAAATGGGGGGGTGTGCCCCCCCCCAACCGCCTCACTTGTTTGTAATGCAAGGGCGCTGCTTAACAAATCCGGGTGTGCATGAAATTTTGTGTTCCCATAATTTGTCCAACTTGCGACATTTCATCATTTCTGTACAAGACAATGCACCGTCTGATCTTCCTCCATGTTTTGCAAAGAGCGGGCTGCGCCGCCCCCAACCCCATGCTATTCTGTCGCGGCAGCACACTGCTCGGGTGTCTTTTTTCCTGAAGCTACAAGGCTGGTAGTTGCAGCTCTTTTTTTGCAGCAGCAAGCAGCGGCCTGGCAAATCTGAATCCAACTTGTTTATTTTGATTTTAAATAACCTATATGTTATATGTTCGATGTGTTCCTATTGTTGCCCACGTTTATCACAGCTTGAAAGGGGGCGGTGCTTCTCTCCAACCCTACTGTTTTTTGAAGCCCCTCTTCGCAAGCACCTATGTGCTTTCGTATGTTTGGAGTTCTTGATATTTGCACTTTTTAAAGGCTACTGACACTATAAATAACGGCGCTTCGAGTTCTGGAGAGGGTTACAAATGCTTCACAACATTTGGAACTGTTGGGAGGTTGACTGAATTGCATTTGGAATTTTGTAACGCTTGCGGCTTTTTGGAAGAATACAATACGGTAAATCACAAGATAGCGAGCGCCGGTAAGTGAACGCGTCAGAAATGTCAGCAGTCACACGGCTCAGGCGGGTCGGCGTCGCCATCCGCGCAGCTGTTCGGTTTTGGGCTCTGAATTTTTTCCGCGTGTCAAAAGTGTCAGCAGACACAGGGATCAGGCCGGTCGGGGTCACCATCCGCGTGTTTCTCATGTTTTTGGGCTCTCACATCTAGTTTGCGCTTCGAAAATGTAAACAGTCACACGGATCAGGCCGGTCGGGGTCGTCGTGATGTTGAGCTGAATATCAGTACACAACACCCCGGTGCTCCTCGCATCGTCTTGACGCCCACAAGTGCAGCACTCCTTGCGTTCTGGCACTCAGGTTGACGACTCTTGCTTGTCCCTCATCATGCGTCAGTTGAGTGTACATCTGTCTCTCTTTCTGGTTGTGTGCCTGCGCAGCTCTCAATCCTGCGTATGCAGAAATAATGTCGCCTTGCAACTTTTCTCGCCGTACCCTGTGCTAACTTGGCTTGCGATTCACAACGCTTGGCATCCATGTTTACATTTGAACTCATTTGCTCCTGCTCCCTTCCTTCTGTCTTGGGTAGCTCAGTGATGAACTTCCTGCAGAGGTGGAGCTGTTTAGCTTGAGAGCTTGTGTGTGTTAGTCCTCCTGGTGCAGTTGGGTCGATGTTTCATATGCGTGCGTGCTCGTCCATTCAAGTCGAAGCATGACGAATTGTTGGATCTTTTTGAGCCTCGGGGCCGTGATGATCCACGTGCGGATTCGACTTGTTGAAAGATGCCAGCTGACGGAACATAGGATGACCTTTTTGACGGGTGTGTCAGAATCGTGATACTCAGAATTTGCAGGCTGACTTCCACGGCATCGCATATGGTCGGCATGCATGCATGCGAGACATATATATACACACACACACTCCTGTCAGCCTGACTCTGTGTGTAGGTGAAGAACACGTGCCCAGAGCCCCGGAATTGCACATACAAGACTCGTTAGCTCCCGCAGTCCTTGATGACAGGTACCTGGGTGCGGATTGCTTCACACTGGTGTCAATTTAACCTTATTATAAGTGGCTACTGCTAACAGCGCGATCGTGCGCTCGCGAAACAAGGATCAGGCAGGTCGGGGTCGCCATCCTTGTAAGTGCCATCGTTTTTGGGCTCCCGCATCTTGCTTGCGTGTCAAAAGTGTCAGCAGTCACGCGGATCACGCGGGTCGGGGTTACGATCCTCGCAAGTGTCGTTTTTTTGCGCTGTCATATGGTCGTTGCATGGCAAAAGCGCGAACAGTCACCAGGATGAGCATGCCTCCCCCAAAGTAGCTGAGCCGCAATTATGAAAAAAGGCGGTGAGCCACACCTATGAAAAGAAATGAAAAGAACTTGCGCCATAAGGGTAATATAAGGGTTATATGGGGATAATGGAAAGAAAAACGAAACTAGCATCTGGGAATTAAAGATACCGCTAATGATAATATGATTTGAAAGCTGATTGATAATAAGAATGCCTCCAAGAAAAGTAACATCGCACGCCAATAAAAGCAGTAATACAGCAATGCCAATACGAATCATGTGACCAATCATATCATATTTGTATGACAAGTAATATGAACATATGTCTTTATACAGCCCTCAGAAGTTTAGTAGTGTTCAGTGGGAGCAGCGGCCAGCAGCACAGACTTGAAACGGGAATGCTTCAAATACTATGACACAGTCATCCCATTTTAATTTCAGGAAAACATAAAACACAATAATGGTATAACAGTACAATACTACCAAATTATCACCCATTATCATTCCAGATTTGCAAACCGTCCCACTCCTTAACTTGGGTAATTACCCTCATGACCAATCCCGCGCATTCAGGTATGGGCGTACCTTCGAAGATCGGACGCACACCTTCCTGGCCGCTTGGTTTTTCACCGTGGTTTGCCACAACACGCTTTCCAAAGTCAGACACATTCCGTTCCAATTTTGTGGTCCAGTTAGGATTAGGAAGGTTTGGGTTTGAGAATTACGTACATGCATGATCATGAATGTTTGTAAAAAGTCGTGAGCGAAGAACAAACAAGGCGCAAACGCGATGAAAAATTGACTCGTACACATATCGCTTACATCCCGCAGCTTCTACCAGAAACAACCGTCATAGCTCTGTCATGGGCCTGGCCTCGCAAACCTTCAAATGATTGCCAAGGCTACTTAGTGGTTTCAGACGGGAATAAGGGAGGCTCTTCTGTAAGGTTTATATAGGGATATATGGGGATTATGTTCCCATATTACCTACCAACAACCAGTAAGGTGATGGAACGACCCGCGGATGTTCCCGCCGATCGACGCATTGTGAACTACAACGTCCGTGGCCGACGCGGCAACATTGTTCAAGTGTACCCCTCCGTGGAATACGATTTCGTGCCGCAGGATACCTTGGCACCCAAGACTACACACTTCCTCAATGCGTCCTTTCGTACTTACTTCCGTAATTAGCACGACCGATTTCGCTGCACATGTAGCTTACGACATGTTGTTTTAATCGTGCACGTTTTGGAGGTTTCAAAGCAACATGGCCCCGTACCTCAAGCATATTGCAGCCTTGCGTAGTGGCGTAGCGTCCAGAAAGGTGAAACTTCGGAATTCCCGCAACAAGGGCTCTTGAAGTTCCATTGACGCACCATTGAATTGCACGAGAATTTCTGACACCCAGTACGGTAAAACACATCAGTTCTTCAGTCAACAATTCTAGGGACCTTTCGCGAAATCACCAAAGCTGGTGAACTTGTATACCACCTGACCCCGTGTCTTCATGAAGGTGGGCTTGGGGCCTTCTTACAACTCCCTTACGCCCCCATAGGCTTGAAAGCGCAACCTTTCGTGCGAAAATCTTGAAAGCTTGCCATTTTAGCTCTCTTCCGCAGGACCTGGTGGTGGAGCAGGGTACCTTCTTGCACTTCCAATGGACCGGTTCGGACGCCAACAACAACGGCCACTTGGGTGAAGAAAGGAAGGTTTGGCATGGATTGAGCATTTTTTCCACCGGCCAGCGCGTTATAAAGTTCAAGTGGATTGCAAGAATTTGCAGGGGAAAGATGAGGTTTGCCGATGACCGAGAGGACGCATAAGTGGGAACGCCCAGATCCTCAACTTCATATTTTTTTTGGAAACAGCACGTCGCTTTTGATGGGCACCACATTGTGGTATATTGCGGTTATGTAACAGACGCACCACGCGTTTTTGTGAACCCTCGCATGACAGAAGGGGTCAACATGAAAAAATATGCCTGGTGAACCCCTAAAGTTTCACCTTTATATCATCCCAGGTTCCATTTCATTTTCAATGTTTTTTTCTCTTAATTTGGGTTTCCATTATTCTCGTTCGTGAAACCAGAAACTCCGAACCTTGTTCAGGCAATGCTGGCAATGGCCGGGCAGGGACAGATCGCTCCAACTTGGTCCAGGCCAGGCAGCTTGAAAAGGGTTTAGATTTCATTGTTGTGGTTTAGTAATATTGGGGTTATATGAGAATAATGGAAAAGAAAATGGAAACTACTGTAGTATATTGGGCTTATGTAGGGATAATGGAAAAGAAAATGGAAACTAGGGTCCTGGAGCGGTTTTTGCAGCGTGTCTATCAGCCACTATGTCTACATTGGACTCCTTTTTTGGGGGTGGAATAAATGGTTTGACTTCTTGTTATTTATTGCTTCATCGGACTTCATGTAAACATGTCGAATTATGTTCAGCAATGTTCCCCGGGTCTAGGGCATTGAAGGATGCGGGCTTCGGGGTTTGAGATTTTCAGGAATGATATACGAAGTTGTGGCGGGCACAAACTCGAGTCAGAACCAAGCAATACAACTCAAGATGGAGAATCAAATGAAAAACAGAATTGAAGATTATGCGCAATGGAAGCCAGGACTTTGCAGCGGTTTACGAGGTTTAGAGCTAAGTACTAGGTACAAGTAGGGAATAACCCGAGTTATACCCGTGTCAGATCCCATAATAGTCTGCTATACCTAAGACCTAAATTGTTTCCGAATACACCTAGTCAGGAAAAGGGTTTAGGGTTTTGAAGGATGGGAGTTTGCGGTTTCTGGGGCGAGGAGGGCTTCGAGAGTTTGAGTGTAGGGTTGAGGAGTTCGAGGGTTTGGACTTTCGGATTCAGAGTTCACAGGGTAGGTATTGGAGGTTGGATTTGGCAGCCTAAGTTTAAAGGTAATGGTGGATTAGGAAATTGTGAGTATGTAGTTGTTCCCGACTACTTACGAAGAATCTATCTTCAAGGGGCTTCCACGGATGTTCAGGTGGTTGCTGGCATGCAATGGTGGAAAATGGCGTTTATGTACGTTCAGGCTTCAAGGTTGATATTTTCTCATGATTGATCACTTCGTAACACATGCAAACGCCACCCGGAGAGCATGCACGCAGCATTTGGACGCCTCTACTCATCATGTGACCCATTTGAAGCACGCTTCTGCGGTTGGAGTGCTTTTCAAAATGATAGCTGTGTACTGCCTGGATGTGCTCAGAATCCTGCTGTAGCATAATCGCCGAACTCCGACGCTGTGAGCTGGGGAGGCTAAACTCGGCCCTCAATGTTGGACTGGAGGCCCCAGACCCTAATTTGCACCTATCTACTGAACCTTTTCAGGTGAAGTCCCGGTCGGAAACCGTCCCGTTGCCCATTGACCAGCACACGCTGCTGCAGCTCGTTGCAGATTTTGTGGCTCCAAGTAGGTACGACGTGCGCAGGTGCAGATTCCAGCCAATGAAGAAAAAGGAACCCCAACATTACTGTTGAATCCTAGCCACCGTTCCGTGCAGTTGTGAGGCTGGTGAAAAGTTCATTAAAGCAGTGAGTTTAGAAGTATTGCTCCAGGTAGTATCATTTGAAGGAATGAGAGCCCGCATCGACTTTGCAGCTTTGCGCCCACAAAAAAACAAGTAACATGCAACATGTTGCTGAGCATGCTGAGAGTACTATGAACAAGGCCCTCCTGGAAGCCTTATTCCATGGTTGCATGCTCCCACGATGGGATTCGGTGCAGCCCTGTGTACACCCGAACCTCCTATCTCGTGATGTGTCGCGCTTGTGGAAGGACCATTTGTTGAAGGCCTTTTTGTGACACCGACCTCGCATGTTTTAGTGGCCCTGGCATAGACTCACTTGTTAATTCGCAGCCATCGTAGGATTCCAAGGAGCACTGAATCTTAAGCCTTGAATCATAAGCTCTTTACTCCGCATGCATGCCGCCAACCCTATGACCAGTCACAATTCTGAGAAGTCGCGCTTCAGTAAGGTTCGACGCCAGCGCCAACCCCAATGACCCGGAAGGGCGCAGACTTGTGGACAAGTTTGCTTTTTTGGACCAGGACATGTTGCCACAGTGCAGGGAAGGTGTGTGGGGGTGAGGAAAATGAAACATAGGAGGATGGCTTTGCGGATTTTGATTTCCTCAAAGTTATGTTTGGCTCCAACTTTTGCAACAGTCCCCAACATCAGAAGAGATTCGGCGAGACGCCACTGACTGAATTTCTGAACATGCATGTGGAAGGTTCACGTTTTCCGGAAAGAATGATGATGATACTGCACCATTAGTTTTTGTGGCGTTACCGCCTGAAATCTATTCGACATGGCTCTACGCTTCACAAAAATGTCACCTCTGCATCAATGCCCCCCTATAAAACAAGCTTGCACCTTCGTTGACAAGATCCCAAATTGGAACATTTGTTTTCAAAGACGTGATCTCATGTTTGGTGCAATTTGTATTTGAACAAACCTTGTAAAAGCTATTAGAAGGGTTTTCTCTCTGGTACAACAGTTATTGAGCAGGACTCCATTGTGACTTGCGACCCGGAGACGAACGACCAGAATTCGGAGACGAACTGCAAACAGCTCAACGGAGCTTCTGCCTACTTCGATGGAGGTTTGGTGGAGATGAAGCATGTTGGCGACCACCACATTGCTAGCACCAGGAACAATGATTTTACCAACAGGTCTCACAAGGCATCCATCAAGGTCACAGGCCTTCAGCTCGAGCTCTATGAGAACATTGCCTTGGGCGTTGGTGCCTTCTGCGGCTTGATCCTGGTGATCTACGTGATAGCAGCCCTTTATGCCTGTAGGCGTCCTGGCAGTTGGTTGTTCTCCCGGAGGTATCGTCCACGGCTTCTCAACCTTTTCCTGTCGAGACGTGCAATGGACAGCCTGGTGGAGGAGCGGCGCCAAATTGTGGCCCAGCAGCGGCATGAATGGGCAAAGAAGGCCAATGCGCATGCTGTAGACGAGGAGGGAGCTGTGGACTCCGCTGACGTGGCCTTGCCTGAGGAGACGCTCACATGGTTTCAGGCCATCAACCGTTGCTTCCGCCGATGCGGCATCGGTGAGCAGCGGCTCACCACTCTCATGTATGCAGTGCTGAACATTTTGGTCTTCGTGATCGGTTTCCTCTCCAACTTGCATGGCGGCTTCCACGAGTCCTGGGCCTATCCCATCGCCAAGGGTGGCGGCTATAGCATGGACCTGAACTTTGCCATGCTGATTCTGCCCACCCTGAAGAGCCTGCAGACCACCATGCGCCGTGTGAGCTCCTCTCGCGAGTGGATTCCAATTGATGACCCCATTGCTTTCCACATCGTGATTGCCAGCTACACCATGCTCGGTGCAGCCATCCACATTGCCGGGCACTGTGTGCACATCTATTTGATCAAGACGGCGCCCACGATCCAGCTTGACCCGCTTGAGTTGTGGAAGCTGAGTGCCGAGGAGAAGGCAAGTGGCATGACATTGCTGCAGCAGCTCCTCAACTTTCAGAACCGTTGCGCGGCCTTGACAGGCATCATCCTGACCTTCCTCATGTTGGCCATATTGTTGACGGCCGTGCCGTGCGCCCGGCGAGGAACCAACTGCGTCACTCGCCGATTGGGTGGTTTCAACTTGTTCTGGCGCGTGCACATGACTTGGAAGTTCATCTACGTGCTTTTGCTGCTTCATGCGCCTCAGCGACTTTGGATTTGGTTCTTCTTCCCGGCCATCTTCGTGCTTGTGGACCGGCTGTTGCTCTCCAACCACCAGGCCCTGAACTTGGCACTGAAGAGTGTAAAGCTGCTTCCACGTGACGTCATTGGCCTCACCTTTGAAGTTCCTCAAGGTTTTGTGTACCAGGCTGGCCAGTACATCCTCCTTGGTTGGAAGGGCGAGTGGCATCCCTTTACTTTGACATCAGCCCCTGAGGAGAATTGCATTTCGGTGCACATCCGCTCTCCAAACAACCTGGACTGGTGCTCCGCATTGCGCCGGCGCCTCACTGAAGAGGCCCCAGCACAGGCAGTGGGTAGTGAACCCACCCGAGCAAAGGCTCCCATGCTGCTGGAGTACAGCAAGCACGTGCTCCCCAACAGCCAGGTGGTCTACAACATGCCCAAGGTTTGCAGCCCCAATGGTGCTAAGGAGGTTGAAGGTGACGAGTCGAAAGCCAAACTCGAAGGTCCACGCCTACTGGGACGCAGCCCCTCTGGAAAGGTTGTGCAGCCACCGGCTCGCTCCGGAGAGACGCTGATCAGCAATGCCGCTCCAGGAATGCTCCCGGATGAGGCAGTAGTGTTGCAGGTCACTGGACCTTTTGGTGCCCCTGCGCAGAAGGTTTGGGGCTTCGACGTGCTGATGGTGGTGGGAGCCGGCATTGGGGTCACACCCTTCGCCTCCATCCTGCGCTCTGTGCAGCTGCGTGCCAAGCAGCGCGAGACCATCATGAACGCAGCCACGAAGCCTTCAGCTTGGCGCTCGGTGATGGCCAACAGCCCCGGAACTGCGCCAGTTGAGGACACAAGGGCAGGGTTGGAGAAGCTGGTGGACGACCTGGTCGTGGTGCCCAAGAAGATCTACTTCTATTGGATTTGCCGTGGCCAAGAAGAGTTTGACTGGTTCTGCGACCTTCTGACAGCAGCCGCAGAGGGCCCAGCCATGGGCATCGTGGAGATCACGCTTTTCCTCACTGGGGAGATCGAGCTGTCCCAAGTCAAGAAGCTGCCTTGCGCTGCCGGGCAGTTTTTTGGCCGCCCCAACTGGGGCCGTATCTTCAAGCAGAATCGTGAGAAGCACCAGGGTGAGCACATCGGCGTCTTCCTGTGCGGTTCCCCAGTGATCGGCGAGCAGCTTTCCCACCAGAGCATCAAGAATTCGGACCTGGTTGGCACCCCGGGCGGAACCCGCTTCTCCTTCTTCAAGGAGCACTTCTGAGCCTCAGAAATTGTCCCCATCATGCTTTGTACGGGCATTTGCCTCTGTCTCTCTGATGCCGGCTTGCATCGATTTCCTGGTCTTGCTGCAGAGGGGCACCTTGGCTCCGTGTACAGATACTTCAGCCCTGTACTTTCCAGTTTTGTGTTCAGGTCATCCCGGCCATTATTTCAAAATCGTGCCTGTCTAGATCAGCGTTGGGTCGGTAAACTTCTACATACGTCGTGCACTACGCAATAAGGTTGGCACTGCAGCCCCAAGCTCAATAGTATTACCCGAGAACATTCAAGAGAGCTGACCCAGCTGTAATGCATGCATGGCACGGCCTATGCGGCAGCCCTCAACTCGGCTCGCACTTCGTTCGCGCAGCTTTGGCTGTGTGAGCTGGGGCGCGGGCCTAGTTCAGTGCCACTACAGGTGGCTTGGGCGACTGTCGTCTTTACTTCCGGTTTTGTAGCAGATCGACCAGATCGACCATGAGTGTTGGTCTGGGATTTGGTCATTGGCGTTAAAAGAATCCAGTTGCGCAGCTGCCCTTCCAAACATGTCACGAAAGCTCGCCGATGTCATAGTGATGCATGAAGATGTTTTAAACCCGCAGTGCCGTTGACCAAATTTTACCAATGCCATCCGATGTGTGCACAGTTGTTCACATGTCAGGCTTCATTACAGTCAGCCTTATTCGGGCCTAACAATCCCGGTATGGAATTGTGATCATACAGGTATGGCCACACTGTTTGTATGAGATGTGCGTTTTGAATGAACCTTCAAGCTCCAAGTTTATGACTTCAGGTGGACAGCTCGGTGGCTTTCCGTCGTGCCTGCAGGGAGAAGGCCGCAATTTGCTGGTTGTTTGCTGTGGGTGTAACTGCTAATGTTCCGAATCTAGCATGACTTTACCACAACTCTAGAAATTTGAGATACTTAATCAAAGGTATGCAGGATTTTGGTATCAACTGAAGGTAGCCATTGTCATTGAGCATTGTTGCACCCACGTGGCTACGTACTCCTTTCCATGTTACAGGGTCATTCTTCTTGTCATGGCTTTTGCTGTCATGGAGATATAAATTCTACAAAAAAGTTGCATCTGGTGCCGCCGGCAGAGAGTTTTTCTTGGAACCAGCAGAAGCAGCCTGTTTGACGTTTCATCTATTTCGTAAGGGATTGGGAACACGTGGACTACTGAAATGATTAGGCTATCACGGGATGCATGTAGGCGTCCACCAGGCAGTAAAGTATGGTCCTCAACATGTTCCTTGATAGGAACCCATGTGCACTGACCACATAGAAATAAACCATAAACCCAAAACTCCCGATGAGATAGTAGTATCCATTTTCATGTCGCATTTTGTTGTCAAATTTTGATAGTATACCGTATACCTATGGGAAATATTGGAAATATTGGCCGTAGCTCATGTGCTTGTCACGGTCTTCACGCTTGCAAATTGAAGCTCAGCTATACGTCTTTTGGAGCTAGTTTTTGTTGCATCTCTGCCACTGTTACATTTCAAAGTTTCCATACATAGAATATTGCCAAAATACACCCAACATACCATAGGCATAATTATCAGCACAACAAAAAACGGACCGTCAATGGTTTGGAGCCCCCACGTGTGCCAGGTTGTTCGGTCGGATTGGGTGGGTTCGTTTTGAAACCTTCCCATGGAGAATTTTTCTTGTTGTGTTACAGAGCATGTCGATTTTCTGCGCCCGGGCCATTTTGAGAGCAATCCTTTGAACAACCTTAGGATCGAATCCTCGTTGCAGTCCATAGCAATTCGACATGTTCCACTCCTCACTCATGACCTTAATCCATTGCAGACCTAAACCCTAAACCATCAATCCGTTGCAGCCTTTGAAGTCAAGGTGCCGAGGGAGTGCGTTCCGGCGAGACGTTGCGGCCAGCGGTGACCACTTGGTGGCCAGCGACCCAAGGATCTCTGAAGCCCGCAGATGGTAACCCAGACCCGATTATAGTGGGGATCCTAGTATTGAGGCACTTAAAAGGAGGTGGTGTATTAATAATGGGTCTACATTAGGGCTTTATTATGATGTATTGGTGGGTGTGTGCAGGGTTAATTTGGAATAGGGGCGCGTGTATATTCCGGAATCGTGTATAGCTGCGGCGTTGAAGGTGGGAGACCGACAAGTAAAACAGTACCCTGAATGATTTTCTTCAATGACCCCTGCCTAGTCCTTAACACGTTCCCACGTATAATTTTCATCGTTTCCATGTATATGTTCAAAGTCTTTTGAAGTCCCTTCTTTTGAGCGATTCCCACATCTAGGACGCAGTATGCTCTTGAGTTGCTCAGTAAACGGATTTACTACACCGTCCTTGGAAACATTGCAAGCTTCTACATGCTTCCTTGCTTTAACCCTGGAAAAAAAACCCAGTCACCAACCTAGCGGCCGGATATATCCGGTTTCCAGTTTTTTTTTGTTTTTTTTTTATCGTCGCTCGGTGCATGTTGATTTTTGTCAGCTTAACTTAAGACCTGTCAGCTTTCGGGTACAAGATGCAGGGCGGCTTGGTGTGGGCACAGAAACGTTCAGCCATGTATTGCATGTGTTTGGGAGACATCGATCTTTGCTTTGATCTATCCAGGAAGGACCATTTGAAGCCTCGCCGTTCAAGTCGGCACATGTTCTTCGGCGATTGAGGCCTTCAGATGCTGATGAGTCGCGGCTAGCAACTCGGCTGCGTGATTCTCGCAGACTGTTTCCAGTGCAAATGTAGCAATGCAGGTCCCACATGTCAAGCATGCACAATGAATCTTGCCAAGCTAAGATGTGTTTCCCTGAGCTTCTGGTTTTAGTCAAATTGGCCCGCGCTCTCAGAACACTCGACGCCTTCACTTTCATGTGTAATTTTGGAATGCCCCACTCCGTGGCAAACAAAATGGTCATTCGGGCTTTCAAAGCTGGGTGGATGGTGACGTACAACCCTACTCCCACACCCACACCCCTAAACCGTCAACAGCAATCCGACCATCCTAAAATTCAAAGTGCTGAAACCCTCAAACCTCCCTCCAAAGCCATAAACCTTTAAACCCTCCAGCAAGGATTGGCGCTTATGCACGGAGTGTCGACCCTTGGGGTCATGAGAGGTTCCGGGGAGCTCATGGGGGGAGATGTAGGGACAAGAGTATATATGAGCTATAGTCTAAACTCCGTAAAGGGGGTTATGTGAGGGATTATTTAGGGGACTATTATAGGGGTTATTAAGGGGGATAGTAGGAGTTTAGACTATAGTTCATATGGTTTGGGGCGTAAGCATATGTCGGGATGTATCTGGATAGATGGGCCTATGTAGGAATACATCGAATTCATGGGTTCAGGGCGTGGTTGCTTGTGATGGCTTACAAGGATATTCAAGGTTTAAGATTTTTGGGGCTAAGATGCCGACGTATGTGAGGTTCAGAGTTGAGTATTACAATGTAGGGGTTTTCAATTTCGAGGGGTTTACCAGATTGTGGTTGAGTTGGGTTGGTTGAGGCATTCGGGTTTCAGGCCGCGGCTTGTCAGTATAGTCCCTCTTAAGTACCCTTTAACGTGTCATAAAATGGTTTTGCCCAATACCATAGTAAGATCTCCATCAACCCCATCCTTTATCTAGAGCGACAATAGGTGTTCGTAATTCCAAGTTGGAGGAAGGATGTATTTAGCTACTAGGTAGGTAGTAGGTAGGGATATTCCAAGTTGGTCCAAGTTATACTTACAACAGATGTCGCAATATACCGCCTAGTTTTGTTTCTCCTTTCTTCTAACCCCCGAACCCCTAAACCGTGAATCCCTGTATAACCCTTGTAACGCCTTTACAAGGGCCTGTGAAACCAGAGTTCGGTGTATTGTGAGTATTGTGTGTTGTAAAAATTCACCGTTATCAGACCCCCGAATTGCCCACAACGTAATAAAGATTGTAAGAAGAACAGTAATATTAGTAATCCTAATTTACCAGTAGTACTAATAATAGTTAAATTAAGTTACCATATTGGGGAAACCCTATTATTTACCATATATACCCATTATGGTAACTTTAACCCAGTAACAATAATACTTGCAGAATCGTAAGCCCATCAAGTCGAGGCCAGTTGTACAGGTTTGGGAGGCGTAGGCTATTGTTACACCTAGTTCAAAACATACTCTTTCTCGGGATCCGTAACAAGGACATATGAGCATCACTAGGCTGCCTTTTGAACGTACAGTCTTGGATTTGGGTTCTTCTACTTCAGGAAGGTTTGGGCTGTAGGAACCTTGGGGTTCTGGATTTAGGGAATTCACGCCTCAAAACGTCAGGGTCACCCTATCCCACCCTGCAAGGTTACAAGTACTGAGCCATTATCGGTCAACAACCTTAGTTGCGGGGGAACCCATGAGAAAGACAACCTGTTGCTGCATTGATGGAAGCCGGTCATGCGATTCATCGTTAAAGCCCGAAAACGCATTTAGCACCCTGTCAAACATTCTGTTCATGTGCCAGAGATATGTTCCCAAGCTGATGTCTTTGGTTACCTTATGACGCCCTAGCCCTTATTTGGGGAAAATGATGTCTTTGGTTACCTTATGACGCCCTAGCCCTTATTTGGGGAAATCTTTGATGGAGGTAGTTTTAGCCGGATAGTAGGGGAACCCATGAGAGTGGGATACATTGGCTACCGGTGGAAACAATATCCCCACCATGTCCAAATTCACTCCCACTGCCATGCCATGATGAGGGTTTACGGGGAAAGCCTGAAACCCCAGCTCTCAAACCCCAATCTTGAATCCTGAGATGCGATACCTCCTGAGGTTGGGCCCATTGTTCTGGCTGTGTTTGGAGTTGTTGGAAGTTATGTCAAAGAGCTGCGTATAATAAAGTAGCTATGAGGGTACTGACGTTCGGATATTCGCGATAACGGCCTTCGCCACTCCCACCCCAACCCTAAAAGCCAATGTTGTATAAATCATTCCTCATGGAAATTCCCAGAGCCTTCCACGGTCAGTCTGTGGGTAGGCCC